GTGTGTGTGTGTGTGTGTGTGTGTGTGTGTGTGTGCGTATTTGTGTTGTCGTTTGTATTATCATGAAATCAAATGATTTCAATAAAAAAAAATCCTGTGCATCACACTTCCACTGCACAGATATGATATATAAATAATGACCAATAAATGACCCCCTTACGAAAAAAAGGATGGTAAATGAAGCAGTAAAATAAATAGGAAAACAAACGATAGCTAAAGAGGAAGGAAAATTGTATTAGAATAGTAGCAGTAAGAGAATACTGGTACTTAATATTAATGGCAAAACTGGTAGTAAAGCATTACTACTAGCAATAGTAACAGTAACCATATCTGCTGTCATCATTTCCTAAATGATCAAAGCTTTTTCCTAAATTTGAAATAAACTTCTAAAACAGTAAACATAAGAGCATAGTTACGAACAATAATGTATACCAGTAATAAACACTATGAACAACTTTTCAAATCAGTATTTAAAATAATAATAAGTAATAATAATAATGATAAATAATAAATAATAGTAATAATAACAATAATAATAATAATAATATAATAATGTAGTAACAATAATAATACCTGCTTTTTATCAGATATTGTTATTCCAATTTTAAGTGAATAACCAAATGGCAAATCATAAATACCACTTTGCATATCATACAATGAATTCTGCTCCAGAAAAAAAGGAAATTGTGGCGACGTGAATCAGAACAATCCATAGGGTAGCAAAATGAAAAAAAAGGCATTATTGGTAACATTTTGGGAATTCTGTAGAATTTTTTTAAGGCATGTCAAATGTTACAAAACTTTTCTAATTTCATTTTCCTTTCACAAAATCATATGTAATGTTTCAAATTTTCATTCTTTCAACGGCAAGCCGCGTTTTGCATCGTCCGTCATGTCAGAACCTGAAACTTAAAACTTTTCTGATACTTTTCAAATTTATTTGAAAGAGAAACAACCTTCAATTTTAATGGACTTATGTACTGCTTTTCATATTTTTACTATGTAAAATAGTCTAACCACCAGATTCAACATAAGCTATATTATGATATTTCATTCTCCGCCACACCAATTATTATCTGTATACCAAACTTTAATTACTTTTATCCTTAATCTATTTTACTTGATAGTAACTTGCATATTTCTTTACTTTGCTGAGACTATTTTTGGCTTCAATATATGAATATCATTAAAAAAGATTTACAATCCATGGATGATAACCCGCCCATACTGCTTCTTCGTCTACGGATGATAATTACTCTCCCATCGTGTTATATCATAATTATCGGTAAAATGTTAAATAATTTGGTCAAAATATTTTGAAACTCGTGCGGTAGAACTCCATGAAAAAAATTAGGGCAAGATATTTGGACAAAGAACTGAACAATGCAAGAAATAAGCAAGTGATTCCTTGATCAGAAAGCATTAAACAAAATTAAATTTAAATTAACATCCTAATATAAGAATATATGTAACAACTACCTTCAGTCCCTATACTATCCAAATCATCATGTGGACTGCTATTCCGTAAGTGAACACGTCGACCACCCAGTAAGGTTTCACGAACTTGACGTCGCTGTCCACGCAAATTGGTGTTATCACGAGCTAATGTATCATTTGCTGCATTTAAATCATCAATCATTCGTTGCAGATTCCGCGCTTTGGTTTGTTCCCGTATTAGTTCTTCCTCCATTTCATCAAGCCGTCGACGAATTTGCCTTACTCGAGTTTTTTCTCTTTCTGCCTGCAATAAAAAAAATTATTTCGCAGAAGAAGTAGAAAAAGCGTATGCAATTCAGATAAAAAAAAAACCATGATCACAAACCTGTTCCTTATTCTGTTCCGTATTTCGACGTTCATCCTCCAGCTGTAATATTGCATCAGCCAAACGTTTTTCAATACGTCGATACTGAAAAAGTTTAAATTGAACGAAAAAAATGACATTGAATCTAATTCAGGAAGGTGAAAAAATTCTAGCACTTCTTTAACCAATCGAGTAAGGAAACAAACGTTTTCTAGAAAATGCAACTATTAACCTTAACGCAGTGGAAGCAGAATTAGTGGATCTCAGACAAAAAAAATCTAAAATTCATTTTCTTCCAGACCCCTTAGTGAGATTCACAAAGCTTTTAGGCCATTCAATACTCTTTTTCTGCTAATCTAGTAAGTGTATGTTGGACGTTTCCGTTTGCATGATAGGCTTCCCCGAAATATGCTCATAATGCTACTAGCCATCAAATAACTGTTCCATCAAGTTCTTTCGTTGAATAGAGGTAACCTTTCTACAGTGGAAAGATTAGCAATTTCATGATAAACTTACTATGTAATATTCTTTATTGAATTGACAACTTCCCTATATAAAAAATCCATGCAAAAGTTTTTACGGCCATCAGCTTTATAAGTGGAAATAAACAAACTAAACTAAACAAGTAAATATTACGAATGATATACTAACTTGTCGGGTAGCATTAGCACGTTCTTGACTTTCCGCATTGTACTGCTCTTCCAAGTACTGTATCTTTGCTTCAAGTGCAGCTATTTGAGCCCTGGAACGTGTTTGTGCAGATGTTTCCAATTCCGATACTTTATTCTTGAGTTCACGATTTGCACGTTCCATTGCTTGCTTTTCAGTTTCCAACTTTTGTGTTGTAGAACGCTCAACTGACAATTCCGTGGTTAGCTGTTCAACCTTGAATAAGAAAAAGACAGTAGTAAATTTTTAGGAAAAAAGATCTACCTGAACCTCTCATCATAATGCATAAAAATAGACGTGTAAGGCAATAGATAATAATAATAGTGGTAAGAGTAGCATGTATGGCTAGTAAACATACAGAGTTGTGCTGTTGAGCAAGCATGACGAAATACTCTGAGAAATAGATGCTAGCTTAAAGTGGTTGAATTATGAAATGAATCTAAAACTGAAAAGATTTGATAAGCTTCGACAAGTTGTGTTCAAACAACATCTACGAGCTGGATTAAAACTTTCTTGATTCATGAATACCATGCATTTTTTCTTCAAATAACCTTCCTCATCTCTTCTAACAACTCTCACCAAATAAAAAGATGAATAAGACGAAATGGTAATAAAATTATCGTTTTTCTTACCTGCATCTGCGCCTTACGCTGCTTATCAAGCGCTAGCTCAGCAAGACTTTGTTCCTCTTCTACTTCTTCCTCTAAAGCAGCAACTTTTGCCTCGAGTCTTCGACGTTCATCGACATTCATACCACCGCCTCGACCCCTCGTATCTTCCAGCTCATCCTTTTCCGCTTCCAGCTGTCTTTTTTGGTTCATCAAACTTTCGTTAGCTTCTAGTAGTCGGATATTTTCAGCATCAAGTGCACGTAATCTACAAATTATTCCATGACTGGAATAGGAATTTTAAAGACAAATAAAAGCAACATAGAGAATACTACACAAGAGACAGGACTATCAATAAACTGTAACTAGTCCATAAGCTGCAAAAAAAACGAAAAATAAGAAGAGCAAAAATAACAGTTTGACGCTTTATGTCGTGACTCTCTTCTGAGGGACATGAGAAGATGTTTCAAGTCATGAAAAAGTCAGGTGAGCATGAAGGAAAGGAGAGGCATTAACAAATAAAAGAAGCTCACTTCCGTTCCATTTCGCGCAAAGAATTTGCAAGCTCTTCTTTGGACTGTCGAATTTCTTCATTATCATGTTGCACATCCTTGATCATTTGTTGATATTTTTTAAACTGTCGACTGTAATCATCTTTCAATCTGTTAGCAAGTTCTAATTGCTGCTCCATTTCCATCAATTGTGATTCAATCTTTTTCCTGTTGGAAACGGCACCGGTCTAAAAATGAATCTATCAGATTCCGAATAAAAAATCATTACGATTTACCTCGCTTGAAAGTTTTCCATCGTGGCGTAGGAGTTAAAGTGAAAAAACAAATCTTACGCGTGTACGACGCTCATTTTCAAGCTCATTTTCGAGATCTCGGATTTGTTTCAGCAATGAACGACGCTTCTCTTCACTTTCCTGTTCTTTCGCTGCCAGCATTCTTTCTTGTTCACTTTTCAAAGCCTATAAAATAATTAAAATTATGTTTGCTGAAGTAATGCTCTCATTTACTTGTAGCCAATTGAAGTGGAAAATAAATCTAAAAACAGCTACAGCTCGATAATGTACAAACAAGAACCTGAAGGTTGACGTCCAATCGAAGTCGAGCATCCTCCGCTATTTGAACGGCATCTTCTAACTCTTCAACTTGCGCCCGCTGTTCTTGCAACTCTGCTTCTAGTTGACGTTTTGCTTTCTCCAATTCATGCACATTCTTTCCCACATCATCCTTTGAGGACACCTGAAGAAATTATCCATCTGTAAAGGAAGCTCAAGAAAAAACGACACTGCAAAAGGATACTCAAAGAATCCTCAATTTCTACATCTACATTATGTTATTCCTTCCCACATTTTTTACCATCTAAAATAATGTGGTTTCTTTGATTTTCGCCTTTTCCCTATTCTTCTTTTTATACAAAACTAACCGATTCATCAAGCTCCATTTGCAGCATACGTTTTACACGTTCCGATTCTTCCAACTGACAGCGTAAGCTTTCAAGATCGTTGTTAAGTGATAAAATGCGCGTCTCACGGTCACGAGACTCCTGAGCAAGTGCATCGCGTTCATTTACAACCTGCAGATAATAGTTTTGTCATTAATTAGTTATTTATGTTAGCATATTTTCCGATATACAATTTTAAATATAACTTTTATCCATCTAATCTGAACCATTAACGAATCAACTTCAACAAGCCATTCTACAATGACTTTAGTGATCATAGAGATCTTTAAAAATTTTTCACTTTTTGAAGATTAGCTCTTTCTTCCGCCAATTGTTGATCAAATCTTCGCTGCTTCTTTTCCAAATCACGCGAATAAGTTCTCACATTATTAAGTTCAATATTGGCATCTTCTACCTGAAATATGAATAAGACATAGCAAAAAGAACATATCTTTTGCAAAGAAATGCAGTGTTCTTAGGTATTATTCAATAAAAACAACCCTAGTGTACAAATTGATAAAAGAGTTACTTCTTGTTGTAATTTGCGTTTGGATCGTTCAACACGATCACGTGCTACCTCCATTTCGGCTAATGTCTTCTGAGTTACTTCGAAATCTCGTTGGGCTTTCTTCTTCATTTCTTCCATTTGTTGCAGTACACCTTCATCAGCCTTCTTTTTCGCATCTACCAGTGCTACTCGTATGCTATCAAGTTGCTTAAAAAATATTTTCTTAGCAAATAAATCATGAGCAAAATAGCACATGCATATGTCTATATGCATGTAAATACAGATATAAGAATTTGAATCACACCATTTTGATTTTCTAGAAAAATTCCCCTACCCCTTCTAATTCTTTTCGTTTAAGTTCCACTTCTTCACGCATTTCAAGTGATTCCGCCAAATCATCTTCCAACTGTCGTACTCTTGTCTGCATTGCAAGTTTATTTCTGGTTTCTTCCTGTAATTGATCTTGTGCTTCGGCTAACTGCCGTTCAAGAAGTGTAATTTTTCGTTGTAATGCTGAAACATTCTGTTCATCTTCTTCTTTTTGTTTCACCACGGAATCCAGTTCACTTTGTGCTTTTGCAAGATGTTGGGTAAGTGCCGACTTTGCTGAATCGAGTTCTGCTATCCGTGCATTCAATTCCATACATGCCATTTCCGCTTGTTTACGTTTTTTATCCGCTTCAGCTTTTGCTGCTTGTACGACGGTTAATTCAGCTGCTATGGACGCCTTTTCCATATCCAATGAATTCTTGGTCTTTTCAATTTGAGAACGTATTCGTTTTTGTTGTTCAACCTAAAAAATCTATTAAGAAACATGTTTGTCAATTAAATTCACAGCAAGTTCCTTGTTATGAATTTAAATGATATGCGTTGTTAATTCTTTTCATGTATTTCTTGTCAGCTGACCTATCAATATTTTGAGTTAGCCTACTATATTTGCTGGAAGAAAAAAGAGAAGAGATAAAGCATGCTGATAATTTCAAAATGAATGGTATGATTTGACCTGTTCGTCTAATTCTTCAATCTGCTTTTGGTATTTTTGTTTTAATTCTTCCGCTCTGGCATCATTAGCGGCATTAGATGATTCAAGTGCGCACTACAACAAAAAAACCAATAAAATTATTATTACATAGTTTTTCTCGCTATTCTGTAAAGGAATGAAAGCAGATTCAGTGAAACTCAAGAAAGCAACCATTTCAATCTTGAGGAAACAAATTAAATGCGCATCTATTATTTTGTTTAGTGATAAAAATCTGATTTTACTCTTCCCTTTTGACTGCAAAAAGAAAACATATTGCAAAAATATAGAAAATACCTTCAGCTCCTTTAGCTCTTCGTCCTTCTTTTTCTGTATTTCAAGTGATATGGCCGTCTTATCGGCTGCTTCCAAATATTCTGTTCTCAGAGTTTCCAAATCATCATTGAGATCACGACGAATTTTTTCAGCCTTTTCACGCAGCACTTTTTCATTATCAAGATCTTCCTTCAATTCCTCTAGTGCTGACTCCAATTCGCGAATCTGCTTTTGCAAAACTATGTTGTTAGCGCTGTCTTCATCTGATCTATAAACGTTCCAAACATTGGTTTCAAAAATGATGTTAGAAAAATTATCGACTCTCAGTTGGAATCCGTACTGCTTTCAACTTTTTAGAAATATTCCTTGAAAAGCTCCCTTGCCAGAAAACATAGCAATGAAAAAAATCTCTAAAATTATACAATTTTTAAAATCAAATTTAAAAACAAAAACAACTTCGTCAAGAGAGTCGTCAACTCTTCTTCGCGTTTACTGAGCAATGAATTTAATTCTTCCAGTTTGTTTCGTTTCTCTTCAAGCAATTCTTTTTGCTCTTCCATTTCTACTTCGAGCTTTCGTTTCTGACGCTCAACTTCTGCTCTCATCTTAAAAGAATTCCTTTAGACAAGTATGATTATCAGTCGCGTGTACACTATCATAAATAAACTATACTTGAAAATAAAGAAGTATAAGGGAAGTTCACCTGTTTTTCCTTCTTTAATTCCTGCTCCTGCTCTTGCAATTGCACTTCAACTCGAGAACGCTGTTTCCCAACATGTTTTGCCTTTTCTTCCTCTTCTAGCAGATGATTCGACAGCTGAGCAGCTCGTTCTTCTATATTTTTCTTTTCTTTAAGTAACTGAAAAAGTAAACAGTCATGATCCAATCGGTAGAACACAATATAACCTTAAACTTTGATAAAGCATAATTAACATTTCTTTATAATATGATAATTTTTTAAGACAACTTCGGCCGTCGCATCGATCTAATGATGTTACTGTGAAATTTATTTCTTTTATTTGACCTGTTCATGCGGTCGGTTGTAAATGGAAACAGAAATTAAAGTCGAAAAACCTCAATTTCAGCTTTTTTATTTATAAAATGAAAGGACCTTTTCGTACGAATCAGCTAGCTCAGCATGTTTTTCTTCCAATTTTTTCCATCGTTGATCCACGTTTACTTTATCAAGCATAAGTTTCTGGCGTGCCTGTTCTTCTTCTTCGAGTTGTTCCTCTAAATCGCGAACAGTTTCCTAAAATAATGTAAAAAATAGTGCTGAAACATATTTCAGCATTTCGAATAATTATATATAAGCAATGCAAAACGGACCTGTAATTTCTTTTTCTCTTCCGTTAATTTTTCTACTTGCTCTTCGCCTTCGTCTAGTTTGGAATTCAGTTCAGTCAGCATATCTTCTAATTCCACTTTCTTTGATGACAATCTTTCACGCATTTCTTCGACTTCCGCTCGTTCTTCGCTTTCCTGAAATGTTTTCAATCCAACAACTTAGATTTATACGATCTTTGATTTCATATTCTTGCTGTAAATACAGTCATATATAATTCTTAATATTTAATAATGTACACACTTGCTGCAGTTGTTCTTGAAGGACGTTCCTCTCTTCGCTTAGTTGTTTGAGACGTTTCTCAATATCACCATATTCGCTTTCCTTCTTGCTGAGCTTATCTTTCACCACTTTCAGCTCCTCGTCTTTAAGAGCAATAGCGGCTTCTTGGTTCGTAACTTGTAAGAGTGGTTTCACCTGGAATACTGACCGTCATTATCAAATTTTAGAAAAAGAAATACTGATAAACACATTGTTTAAGACAAGAAAAGCAGTAATAACTTCCTATTGAACCAATGATGATGATGACCAGCTAGAAAATCCGGAATCAGTACAATAATCCGAAATCTTACAAATTAGAAAAACTAGCAGTAAAGTAAATATTAACCTTGGTAAACAGTCGCCACCATTGCCAGTTCCGTAGTTTGAGCCATGCTAAGCCGTTTCTTTGCAATACCCGTATTGCATTTGATTGCTGCATCCTCTTCTGGTATAAGCGTCTTGCAAGAAAAGCACGGCACTGTGCTTGAAAGGATACAATCAGACCAGTAAGTTTCAAATCACGTTCTTCCTCCAAATGTGCTAAGACACCAGTCCGGAAGAATATTTTCGACTGACCGACCCGATACAAATTATTTTCCATTTCTAATGCATCAATCATTTTCCTACAAAAATTTACATATTAAGGAATTTTGTATTAGGACACTTCAATTATGCAAATCATTCTCATTTTTTATACAAATAATGTTGAGAAATTTGCATATTTTATACTTTGGAATGTTCATTACACTATAGCAGCCATTTACTATGCATCCAGTAACAATTTAAATTTGTGATACCTTACGGCTTCCTTGCCATCCATAAATCCTCTTGGTATAATGTTTGGTGTAAGTATTTCATAACGGTGTCGGAATTCTTGGAAGGGTACGCGATTTGGAAAACCTTGTCGGCAGATACGTATGCCTTCTAAGACACCATTACAGCGTAGCTGTTCCAAAACCAGTAATGATGATATTTTACCAGCCTTAAATGCCAAGATTAAACACACGAATAATATAGTGTTTGCAGCTTGCAAGATAACTCAGTTTATTTCAAAGTTTCAATTCGAACTGTTGCTAAAATAAAAGTGAAATATCCTTAAAGAAGGTCCAGGTAATATTAATATTATAATATCACAAAGAAATTTAGTATTACACAGAAATTTGATAACTTATAAAATGATAACTAACTTTCTTTTCGTGATTCGGTATAATGCATCGCACAAAGTGAGGATTCGTATTGCGCAACGTGGTCATCAAACGAGTTAACTGCTCTTTATGCATTTGACTTACAGTACGGAACATTCCCTTTTTAGTTCGTACACCGAATGCTGTCTCACTGTATTCTGAGGCACAGATTCCCGCAAATTCAGCTTAAAAAAACGCAATCAATAAACAAATATGAAGATATGTACTTCACCGAATTCTGAGGTAAAATACAAATCAACTTACCGTCTTTCCAAATGCTCACAACGAATGGATCGGACGAATTCTGAAATAACGCTACCACATTCTCATTGAGAGGATCCATATTTTTCATAAGCCATTGATCAGCAGAGTAATCTACTCTACCGGCATAATGTATTACAGCAAAATCAGATTTTGCACGCATTTCCGGAATAACAAATTTTGGATGTTTTGAATGATTGACAAGTAATTTTTCGACCAATGATTTATCAGTTGCTTTTGGAAATAAACATTGTTCATCAAGAAGCGCTAGAATACCCATCGGCTAAAACATATGAAGAGTTATTCAAATATGACATGAAAATCACATCGTACTTACACTAACTGTAAATTTAGGATGGATATTTAAAAGGTACTTGAAATATAATAATAGTAAATTTTTTCAAAGAAATGAATGAATTCAAAGAAATCATAAACAATAATAATACTAATGTTCAAGGAAAAAAATGAATTCAAATAAATCATATAAAAAAATTTTTAGATTAAAAGAGTTATTATAAAAAATTACTTTTTCAATGAGATCAATAGTAGGCTGTAGATCAAGGCCAAAATCGATAAATTTCCAATCAATGCCTTCACGTTGATATTCTTCCTGCTCAAGGATAAACATTGTGTTATTGAATAACTGCTGCAGCTTTTCATTGGTATAATTGATGCACAACTGCTCAAATGAATTCAGTTCGAAAATTTCAAATCTGAAAATTTCTATATCCTATAGAACATATCATGCAATAAGGAATCTGAGAATTTAAAGTTTAAATTTGAGTGATAATTGAAGTTGAAGACTAAATATGAAATCACGTTTAAGAATCGTTACAGAAGTATCAGATACTGTATAATAAAATACATATGCTAATAAAAATCGATCATTAGAGACTATAAAAAATTAACAAAACATACCCAGCTATATCTAATATACCTATGAATGAAGCACCCTGCCGACGAGTTCGATCTAAAGACTTGTTTAAACGACCAACTAGCCACCGGAACATTTTTTCATAACAAGCCTATAAAAAATTGCAGACATTCAAAATTTTGATTTTACAATTCTACAGAACAAACTTGATCACCGTTCCAGCTAAAAATCATTACCATAACTAGAAATTTGAACATAAACTAGAATAAAATGGAATGCTCTAATGAAAAGAACTACTGGTTTCGTGATTGAAGTGCATGAGAAGTGTATATCGGTATTTCGTCTACCCGAATCAATATATAGCATCAATACAACACCAACCTTGCTTATAGCTTCCACGGCAAATTCCGCTTGCTCCTTATTTTGTGCCTTGTGCACAAATTCTCGACCAACTTTTATGCGAGGACGCAAAAAAGCTTTTGTGAAATCAACCAATGGTAAGCCCAATAAATGGCACAATTTTTGGGAGACTGCAAGTAAAAATAAAATTATTTCGCGACAATTTTAATTAAAGAAAGAAATGCAATATTTTTTTGAAAAAGAACTATCCGAATGGATTTCTTTTTATACTCTAACCTCGATCATCAGGTAAAATAGCTTGATCCGATTTCTTTTCCTGGAAAAATTCCATATTTCCAAAAAGTAACACGGCAGATACTAATCGAAGGACAGCTGAAATAAATTTTTATGAATAAATTTAACAAACTAGAAAATTTTTTGAACAAAGTTCAATCCTGCTTATTTCTACAAGATGAACTCAACAATCACAACAATACATTAGCTGAATCTCTCTAAAAAGCATCTTACATGTAATTTCCTCTTCTTGAAAACCCATAATCTTCATGGAGCGAACAGTATTATGAAATTCGTTAGCATCATCAACATTTGGTAAATTTATATAACCATTATTTAGGAAGCGATATTTATCAACGTCCTCCAAAAGAAAATTTCCTGAAATTTACGATTACTTAATATAATCATAATTCTATGAAACGTCATAACTATGAGTTGAATTAAAATTTAAAAAATCTCGATTGATGAATTTTAATAGAAAAATACCTCTTTCAGCTGCAGATGTACCACGTAGGAACTGATAAAATATATGGAATGATCGTTCATCTGCTGCTTGACGTAACGTACGAGACTTTTCAAGTAAATAAAACTCAATATTTGCGCCGGAAATATATCCAGACATGTCAAAATTAATTCTGATAAATTTACCCTAAAAAAGTATTTGTACAAACAACCATTTATTTCATATGTTTTACAAGTTAAAAACAAAAAATGATTTACTACATCAAAGAAAAGAATTTTCCGAAAAACCAAAAACCTCATCACAATACGGAAGTAATAACAGATGAGCCAAGTCAAAGCATGATATAACATGCTTTCTAGAAACTTCAAGTAAACATACAAGACAAGCTGGCACTAAGTGATTAAAGTTAGACAGCTCAAAGTAGTGAGCAGATTTTCAAAAGCTAAGATATGGTAATATGTAACGTCAAATGGCGTCACTGTTCAGAACAATTCAATAATCCAAAAAATCTTTTCCTTTTCTAATCACACGATTTGGGTTTTTTAATTTAGGAAAAAAACGTAAAACTTACAAATCTGGACGAATTGTCATTCTTAACTGTTTTACTATTACCAAATGCTTCAAGAATTGGGTTAGCTTGCAGTAACTGATGTTCCAATTCACCCTGAACAAAATTTTTTTTTTGCGTTTATTTCAATTAGCGGCTGGCATTTCTAATTTTATGCTGTGAACTGTATCTTATACTGTGAACATCACATGTTACAAGCGTGCTTACAACATTGTCCGAAAATTTCCTGTGGAATGATTTATATACAGCAATTTTTTTCCCATATTAATGTTAGAAACCGATAATATTTATGCTAACTTTTAATGCAAAAGAAAAAATTCCAACACAGTTCTACTCATTGTAAGGCTTGAAAAGCTTTGGAAAGTTATCATAGAAATTATTGAAATTATCAAGCAAATTCCGAGAACATTGTTATGCAATAAATGAAAGGTAATAAATTGGAGAATATTCAAATTATTGAGTAAATTCCCGGAATACTGTTATAAAATGAGTAGAAGTCAGAAAATTTTCGGAGTTAGTGAATTAAATCATGCTCTTTACTCGAAGGCTGTCGGTATCATGCTCTTAATGACAAATTCTACACACAAATACAAGACCAATTATACTGATAATGATATTGTTTTAAAAAGGATTAAGCATTTTTGATATTTACAAATCATCGTGCTAACTCGTCAACAATTCGTTTCTTTTAAGTTGCCTTTCCTTTTCAAATTTATAATTAGTGTTATTTTATGCCCAACTTGCTATATCCAGCACTGTTAAGTAAGCTTATATTAGTAAAATAGTAACAGTTGACCGCTAATGCAAAATTTTTGCAAAATGCTAAGCAAAATTTTTTAATAAGACATTAGTGAACAAATTATAAAATTAAAAAAACCAATGATAAGGCAAAAATTAAAATTATGTGTTAGCAAATATTGGTTACTATTTTAAAAAAAGATAAATCAAACAGTAAGACTAAAAATAATGAATAATAAGATTAAAAATAGAAAAAAAAGATTCGAGCAATTAGAATGGAAGAAAAATTATGTATCCAAAAAAAAAAAAAAACTTAGATGAGCGACAAAACAGAACACTGTTTAGGTCTAAACAAATATACGAAGACGAATGACATGTGACATTCACAGACAGAAAATTTAGCAACATATATAAGCGTTGTATTATGAGAAACTTACGATAACATTCTCCAAATCCTGTTTTTGCTGTAATGAAAAAGTTTTTTTTTTTTGCGATTCGCCAAATTTAAGTTAAATTTAGTTTTAAAACGCTCTGATATATGTAATCAAACTGAATAACATTAATTACCAATAATAAATGTGAACTTCGAAAATCCTCAATAATTATCAAAAAAAAATCACTCAGTATAGCATATCTTCCAGCAGTAATGCTACCGCATGCCGGATGCAGCCATATAAGAATAATTTCAATGAAATCGATTACGATAATCATCAAATTACTTCATTTAATTATCAGCTGGTAGATTTCTAAATTACGGTAAAAAAAATAAAATTATACCTTCGATGGGGAATTATTTTTACTCTGCCTCGTTGCACCAGCCACATAAGCTAAATACTGAATAACTTTTTTCGTATTTTCCGTTTTACCCGCACCAGATTCACCACTGAAAAGAAAAAAAAAACAACCATCACAAAATATGAAATTATTGTAACACAGGAAATAAAAAAAAGAAAATAATTTGAATCTTGACAAGTACTCCATCTTTAAAAAGAAAAATGAATCGTTTATTGGATTAAAAACTTACGTGCAGAGAATGGATTGATCTTCCCGCTCTGAAAAAAAAAAAGAAAATTATAACAGTAATAATTTCATTTTCGCTGGAGATTATTTTTTTTTACTTTTTTAAAGTAAATGACAAAGAATGACTAAGGGCGATTTTGATGAGAAAGTTCTCTGCTTAGCGGTGAGAATTTTTCAGTCGGTCTATGATACAGATTACAGTTGGTCAGATTTACGTAAGATCAAAATTTCATAGATTATAATCTATGATTTACAAATTCTTAGACTTGCATGAACCGTAAAATTAGTTGAGAACGCCTGATAACAATAACTCAATATTTGTAATATTTCTCCAACATTCTTGATACTGATAACATAACAGCAACAACAACATCAGATTTGGTTGTTGTTGCCGATGAACGATCACTGATAAGCGACTGCCTATCGATATTTTCTTTTGAGAATTACTTTCGTGAACAAATGATAAGATTATAGATGACCTTGGAGCATCGACCGATAAGCAGTATCTGCGATTGCAAATATATGGGGTGGCATTTCATGACGCTTCTTTCCTTTAAATGCTTCAATTAGTGTTTCCGAGTAGATTGGTAGTTTCTTGTACGGATTAACGACCACGCAAAATAAGCCAGAATAAGTCTAAAATATAAATCAGCATCGCATTTCACGTCTACTTCATCGCCAGAGAAAAGAGATTCCCACTTATACCAAGATTATGATAACCTGGACATTCTGTAAAATGCGTTTTCTACGTCGCGCCTTAGCTGGATGACGAGTGCGACCAGGCGCCATCCGCCCAAATAAAGAAATTAACGCTTCCAGCCATTTTAATCACTTAAATTAAACCATAAGTTGATTAGGCTGTTAGTGTTTTTGGATTTATTTTTTTTTCTTTTCTCACACAATAAGAATCCTACATACAAAAGATATAAATTTACATAAATAAGGGATGAGAAGTAGCGTTCCCGAAGATTGTGCAGGACGGAAGCTTCATTGAGACACGTTAATTCAGCCATATCTTCCACTTTATCAAATTTCGGTGGATTCATTTTTTGTAAATCATCTTTGCTCAGTGTCAATCGCTGGAAAAAGGTAGAAAAATGAAATATGCAATGAAATAAATTCAAACCCAGTATCAGTATAACATAATACCATGCACAAATATTAAACTGGATATTTGGATAAATAAAAAAACATTCATAAGATGATAATCGTATGAACATTACGATAAAAACTTACAGAGTCAAAACTTCAACTATTACGTTTTAAAATGCCACTTCAAAATACATCACCGATTCAATAAATATTATATCAATATTTGATTATCTTTAAATTAATAATGATATCTTAATTGGACAATATCTAACGTATATATTTCTAACAAATTAACCTTTCCATTATCAATAAGCTCAACGACAGCATCATCTCCGCGATCTTCTTTAATACTTCCGCTAACGAAACCTTCCGTTTCGTGTGGAACCCATACCAATCTTTTCTTTGCCCATTCTGCTTGAAGCGCCGGATCAGCTACAATACCCTTTTGCACCTAAATAAATGCATATTAATAGTGATTCAAAAATATAGATAACATGACATTTATCAAGAGTAGTCAAAAATTGAAATTAGAAAAAGCAATATTTGAAAACTTTTCATTATGGTATCCTCTTCTCAAATTTACCTCAAAACATCCTATGCTAGCCTATTTAATCTGCAATCAATCATCGCATAACAAAATTTATGTTAATGAATAATGTACATATCATAATGAATCCGTAAAAGGAAATATACAAATAGTTCGCTTTTTCTTCATTCAGTTTTCTTCCTTTTTCATATTTAATCATTTTTCATCTATATTTTCCATACATTTTTTTAAGATATTTCCCAAAATTCTTTCCATATAATTTAAAAAATTTACATTTAAAATTTGTTAAAATGATAATAATGAATTTGACAAATGTTTCTCATTAGAGAACCTGCAGATAAGAGATCTCCGACGTCGTACCAGCCATTTGACCATTCGCTCCTTGCTTCTGGCTTGATCGAATGGCTCTGATCTGCAATTCAATTTTTAATCAAGCATTGAAGAATCAAATTAATCATATACGTAATACATTCGTCATTTAAACATATCTTACGTATCCTCCAATGATTATATACATTCACATCTTCTGCTATTATTTGCAGCTAATTTTAAATTAGAAAAAAATTTTTTTTAAAAAAAAATCCATATTTTTTAGATGAAAACTAAAAAAAGAAATTTATATACATAATATAAATATCATTACAAGAATGAAACATTCGCTAATTTCTTTTT